TAGGTTTGGCCGCCACAAAGTGCTGATCATGTCGGTGCTGTTCATGCTGGTGTTTGGCCTCACTGTGGCCTTCTCCGTCAATGTCCCTATGTTCAGCACCCTGCGCTTCTTTGAGGGCTTCTGCCTGGCAGGGATCGTCTTATCTCTCTATGTCCTCAGTAAGTCTCCACTTCTCAACTAAACTTAACCTGTGTTAAGACTTGTCACCTTTTATTATTGTTAATGGTGAACTGTCTTGTGCATTTATAGCACTTTTCTACACTGTACACTATTTCCCATTCACACACCCCAGATATCACCAGGAGCAACGGTTAGGGGATGTCTCGCTCTACCTCCTGAACCACAGTCACCCCAGTTGTTGCCATGATTGTCAGTCATTTCTCTGTAGCAGGGCACATATGCTCTGCAGTTTATGATGATACTGTTTGCAGAGTTATAAACAAGAAATTGTCACGCCAACAATGAAGGAATAAACTGTAGAAAATTGTGTGGAATATTGGTGGTTTAGTACATCCAGCTGGTTTGGCTGGGTCTTGGCCTCATGTCTAGGAGGTTAAGCGCAGCTTTTGTTGCACTGTATGTTCAAAATTGTACGGTGCTCTTTTCTTGTTAAAGCTGAAATAATACTTCAAAACTATCCCCCATCATCGTCACATATAGGACCCAGATTAAAAGAAAAGTTCATTTTAGTCAAAATCTGTCAGCATTGTATCTTACTGACTTGAAAATGTATTTTTTGGAAATAATACTGTGATAATTCCTAATTATATACAGTACAGTCTTGTCTACAGCGTCCTCTCTTCATCCATAGTATCCTCCCAGTGTTGCTGTTCTCAGTAACAACATGACACATCAAATCAAAAAGTTATTCCACTTTGCTTCTGTGTCTAGCTGAGGGTAGCATTCAGCTAAAAGAAGAGGAATTGTATTGCAGTGACCTTGTAACATTTATTAAACTGAATGCCAGGGTGGGGATAAATTCTCATTACCGAGAGGCTGCCTGGTCCTTATCCTTGAAGTGAACTTGTTAATTCTCAATTAGGTGTAACAGCATGTGTCTTGAGATTTTAATCCTTATTGCTGCTAATCAGTAATCTGATAATGACAGAAGGGGCTGGGGGTGGGGTGGTTTTTGTTATAGTTTCCCCTGTAATTCTGTAGCAATGAATCCTGTCTGTTGATGTGACCTTCTGTTGGCATACTGAAGTTTAAATAATTAGTCTGTGCAGCACTAGTTCCAAAAATGGGAGTGAATGCATCCTGATAATTGGCCTTGCAGTTGATGCACAATCTGGTGTCAGTTATGGATCCTTAAAAGCCTCTTTGTTCGCGGTAATCGACCAGTTCAGAGGGAGGCTGCAAAAGTAGAGGGAAGGGAAGATGTGAGGGAGTAAGAGAGGCTGCAAGGGTGGAATGATGAAGGAAGAGGCCCTCGGTGTCCTTGCCGTTCTAATTTACACTGTATACCCTGAAAAGCTTCGCCGCCCTCCCAGAATAGAAGGACCATTTAGTCTACTCCCAGGACAAAGTGTGGGACAGAAGGAAGCAAAAGTGTGGAGTCAATCTGGATAGGATGGTGTCGCAGCAAATTTAAATGAACTTGACATCAACATCCATTGTTTTCACATTAGTTTACATTTTTATGGTTCAATAAATTAGTGGTTCTTGGAGACAGAGGGGTTTCTCAGTAATTTTGTGGAGTCAATATTTCTCTACATTTCAATGTAACATACCTATTTTTTGTTGTTGTTTTTTTTGCCCTCTTTATGTTTTTCTTTTGCATTATGCAGAATAGTTTTCAGCTTGCAAATTAGTTTGATACGAAAAGAATAAAATACTTTTACTTTGACATGTATGTCAGTTTAATATGTGGTGAAGGCCAAATGAAGGATATGAAAACATAAATCATAAGCCTGTTTAACAGTTGAATACTGAGACAGCAGAGCAGTATTTGCCATTCTGATTGAGAAAAATATGGGTAATATGAATTTATCTTGATAGTTTAATCATCAGAGCTATAATGTTGCAGAGATGCATTCTAAATAAGATATACACAGTTTGTGTTTAGAGAGTCAGAGTAGAAGTTGTGTTTTTCCCCTGTATTTCCTCCTCCTTCCTTCTCATTATTCTTTCTTGGAGTTTTAACTTTTTTGTTATTCTGTTTCCCTGTCAGTTCCTACTTTTTAGACTTACTTTCCTGACTCCCCCCTCTGCTGCACTATTCTCAACTCTATTTTTACATTCTTTGCATTTGTTATTCTACCAAGCAGTCTGCAAAAAATACAGTGTAATGAAGTGGTTTCAAATAACCTATTGTAGCTTTATGCCTAATGAAGGCAACATCTTACCCCCAACAATCATGTTGAAACACCTATGAGGCTTAGAGTATCCAAGAATATCTAAACTATTAGGTAGTATTTAACCATGTCCATGCTATCATGTGAAAGTCCAAGAGTATAAGGGCTTCGTTCAACATCAGAACCAGGTTTGTAGAGTCTGGTTAAATCAACCCATCAACACATTTTGATCCTTTGCATCAACAGCAAACATGGGCAGTAACTATTATTATTATTATTTGTAGTCTGAAATATAAACTAATATTCCCACAGTTGTTGTTTTTACTAAAGAGGCATCCTCATGACTGGAAATGACAGTTCTGTTTCTGAACATCTTTCTGCAGTACTGTAAACTTGATTTGAACAGGGCTTAGCTAGCGAGGTGTTCAGTCATTCTGTTTGAGCTTTGCATGCTGCTGTTCTGCCACCCTAATTCCTGACCATGGTTCAAGAGTAGGAACACAGTCATCCAGTAGCACATTACTGGAAAAATTCAGCTGTTTTATTCCAAGGCTTTTGGTTATTTCAGGGTATTTGCATGAGAATGTCCAACATGCTGAGAGTTCAGCAAAAGTTAATATTCGTTGTATTGACACTGTGTTAGTCATACCTGTATGAAATTTCTGCACGTACAGTAACATTACAAACCACATGATCCACTTTTGTGGCTTGTTTTGCTTGACTCTGCTTACAAAGGAAAGTCGGAGCCAAATCCCAGCTTCGGCTGTGTTTGCAATGGAGACTACACTAATCCCCTCTTTCTCATCAGTCGATGAGTTATTAGGTCTTAGTTTGTGTATCTAGAAGGGTGGGTGCCACTGTATGCCATAGTTTTAGTCTAGAAACATAGCAATATGATCATTTCAATCTTTCATCTGACAGACAAATTTTATATGCGGGAACATAGTAATCAGAAGACTGCACCTTCATTGTGCCATGGAGGCATCAGTCATGAAACTCACTGAGGTTTGAGTATTAGGGTAAGTCCAGTGTGGACCCAAGACTGAGAGGAACACGGAAATGACACAGGGAATAGAGAAAGCAAGATTTTTCACCTCTGAAGAATGTCAAACTAAGAGACAGTGTAATACAAATAAGCTATTACTTCAAATGAAAGCCATGTGTTTCTCTGTATTAACATTTAAGCCATTTCATGTATAAACCAAGCTAATACAGTGATCTACATTATGTTGGCTCCAAAGTACAACAGCAATGTGGCAAAGCCAGTAGCTATAGAAAGTCCTGTGATGCAGCGCTTCTATTTATATTCCAGTGCTCCCTCAGTGTGTGCTAGCCCTTTTAGCATCACAGCACCAGGCACACCAGGCAAGGTCCACAGTCCCTATAGCTCAGCATCATGGTACTGCTCACTCATGCACTTCTACAGTAACCCTCCACCCCCTCTAGACCCCTGCAACTCACCACCTACCCCCTAACATCAGCTAGCTGAGTCATTCTGGCTGCCTGGGTGTTTGTGTGATCAGCTTGGGATGAGGCGATTGTGTGCTGGGGTAGTTGGTCAGAACTCACTTTTTGTTTACACAGATTACAGCGTGCAGTTGCTATAGTAATTTTTTCTAAAACAAAAACATTACTTTTTGCCCTGAAGTATATATTTCCACTAAATATCAGTTTAGCTGTATTATTACAGTGACTAAAGTACACATCATATACAACTCTGTCTTTTCTAAGTTTGTATGCATCTCGATTTGACCACATGAATTATTTATGTGGTGCTTAAACTAACCAAGGAGTGTTTTTTTTTATTGTCGTATGTATTGGTCTTCCAGTAAAACCAACTTTTTTTAAATATTCCAACAGATTTCCAGACACATTTTTTGTGCCAATGCCAGATTATGGCCATATAAATAAATGAAATGACCAAAGAAATCACAGAAAGGCAAACATACTGTTAGACAGTAGTAGCTGGTGTTGAGTATTTATGTAGTTATTTAAATAGCTAAAAATTTTAATATCTGAGTCAATATTATGTAACACCTCTGGTGAAACCACATCCGGTGCTGTTTTTTGTTAGTTTTTGTTTTGTATTAAATTCTGACCTAATTGCACATACTGTACATACATTAATATGCAGTATGTAGGTGGGATATGTAAAGAGGCTTGGGTTTTAGTTTGATAATAATTCCAGCCACTGCTTATGGCTATTTTTTATGTCTGGGGAAAGAAGACATGACACAAGAAAGTAAATTCACAGGTAAAAGAGCACAAGAAGGTGCTAGAGACAGAGTAAATGTTTTATGTATCACCTTTATGTCTAATCCACAAATGAGCAGGTGCAGAAGGTGTAGTCGGTATATTCGTGTCAGTATGCAGTATTGCTGCTGACACACCCAGACACTGACTGTAATGATTGTATGGTTAGTGTTTGCTGTCACTCCTTTTGTATATTTACTGAATGAGTATTGTTTATTGTATCATTTATTTATTGGTCTACACAGAATGAGCAGAGCACCCTGTGTAGACCATCAAGTGTTGGAGATGGGCTGTAGTCACATATGGCTGGCCGTGCCAGCTTAAACTATAGGACATCTCAGTGTTTCTCTTGTTTACTGTTCTTACTGTCCACTTTGTTAGTGTAAGGGCCGTTTGCTGCTTTATACAGGATGTTCATTGATCACTTCCTGCTTCAGTGCTATGTTGTGTTTTGACAGGTTAGCCAGACCAGACTGGGCTCGCCCTCTTCTTCTTGTGTTGCCTATGATGAGGTGTTTTCTCTCTGCAGTGCCCTCCTTTTCTCACAGGTGTTAATCTCTCTGCACACACACGAAAGCAAACGGGCAACGCAGAAAGATGGAAGCTGTGTATTTGTCTGTGTAAACGCCTTCCTTTGTATCAATGTCAAATTCTTTTTTGTTGGTACAGTCTGGTGAGCACCTTTGTTTGCCAACATCCTCTCCTTACCCATCTTGCTCTCTGTATCTATACCCTTGGTGGATATTGCTGTCCGGCCTGACCTGAGCTGTGCATGACAGATCTAAGCTCTGAAGGAAAAAGCCCATCCACCACCGCCATATGGTTAGAATTCCCTGATTACAGTGAGCAGATCTGACTCACACCACTGCAGAGATATGGTGCTGCCACCAGACAACACTTATTGAAGTAACTTTTTAGTGATTTTCATCCATCCATTTTCCTCTACTTATCCGGAACCGGGTTGCGGGGGCAGCAGTCTAAGCAAAGATGCCCAGACTTCCCTCTCCCTACATACTTCCTCCAGCTCCTCAGGAGGGATATCGAGGGGTTCCCAAGCCTGCCGAGAGACATAGTCCCTCCAGCGTGTCCTGGGTCTTCCCTGGGGCCTCCTCCCGGTGGGACATGCCCGGAACACCTCCCTAGGATGGCGCTCGCCTAGTGATTTTCAATTTTTATAATTTTATTCATTTATTTAACCCTTTTGGACCATTCTTAAATATACAGAGAGGCAAGATGGGACATACCCTGTGGACACTGTACTGAGTTCAAATGCTTTACAGCCATGATACATAGATTGAGCAACCCCGACCCTCAACCTGCTTTAGCTGTCTCCTGATAGATAGGTTAAGGTTCAGACAGTGATTTTCTTTTCCCCCCTGTGAGCAGAGTTAAAGTTCCCTTTTGTGCAGAGTTGGCATTTTTATTTGCTCAGCAGACTTCCTCTCCTAACACATGCATCTGTTGTTTTTTTATTTTTATTTTAGACTGGATTTGATTGATTTGATTTGATTTATTCTTTCAAGTTGAAACAACAACAAGTTGAACAAGTTGTTGTGTTCTTGTTTTTAAACCTCTGTTTGTCAGAGACAGTGCATGACATAACCTCAAGCTACTGTATGTCACACCACAAATCCTTGAGTGGAGTCCAGTGATTGGCCAAATCAGCACAGTCAACCTTTGCACTCTCTTTTGAGAAGCGTAAAAAGAAATGAATGCTGATGTAGTTCTTTTTTGGTCAGGCTGACAGTGTGGGACTACCTCTTATATGTGTGTCTAATTGTAATCCATTCTTGAGTCATTCTGTTCCCGTTCCCTGATTGTTTGGTTTTGTGCTGATACTTCTGTGTGTTGGTGGAAGGGGGTCGGGGTGATGGATTGGTTTGGACATACAGAGACACTGACACACACAGACATAAAAGTCTGTACAGGTTGGTTACCAAGAATTTTAGAATAAACAGATAAAAGGAAAATGACCTATGTGGCCTATTCTTCACCTATGTGGTCCCTGTGTTCTGCTTAGGATGCAATTTGCTGTTGTACAAAAATCTGTTCAATCCACAGTAAATCCATTGGGTCCTAATCATGGAAATGCTGAACCCTGGAAATGTTACACTGTCCTGTCATTTAGAGGGGAAAAAAACTCATCGCAGCTTTGCACATACCTGAACTGAGTTTGTCCTCATTAAGCATTTCTTTCTGTGACCACAGCTGTGATGGTGCGCTGCTTTAATGTGCTGATAAAGCAAAAGCAGTGATGATACACCTAGCCAGTAACATCCTATGTAGACCACCCACATGAAGAGGAGAGGGAACCAGGCCTGTGACATTATACTATATGTGTGAGCATCTATGAGCGAATGAAAAACTTAAAGAAATTTATGAAGAAATGTAGCAAAAGTGATGCTTCCGTACACGGTATACAGTGTCACTGGTCTGATGAGGATGAAAATAATATGAAACATATGTTATAAACAGTCACTGGGATCTCATTAGTACCCTTCAACTGAAGCGCTTATTGGATGGTTGGGTGAATATTGAAACTGTGTGTGTGTGTGTGTGTGTCGACAATTTCTCCAACTTTCCAAAACTGACAATCCTGCTAGTACTGTATGTCCACCTCATGCAGTAATTGGCTGGATGTAGGGAGGTGTGAATGTAAGGCACTATTACCTTTTTTTTCAGTCCCACCTATCAAGTGCTGACTGGCCTATTGTTTCTGCAGCTGGAGGGAACAGCCAGTAATGAGCATAATGCCGGACATATTTAAATTGCTGTACAAAAGCGAGATAATGATGGTGATTCTGGAGGCCTTGAACCAGGGTACCATTGTCCCACTGGCATCACAGTGCACAGCCTTAGAGGTAAAAGCCATGGGAGGTGAAGAGGGAACTCAGCTGAAGGGTGGCTAATGCAATAAACAGTAGTTTCACTTTAACCTGTAACACCTTCAAAAAGGCCTGTAGCTCTATCTCCTTATGCCATAAAACATCTTCACAGAAAACATTTGTTATCTTAATTTGTTTAGAGAAATGTTAGAGTTTCCATATCATGAAGTTGTACCTAACAGATTAAGTAGCCAGGATTTGGTAGTGAGGTCAAGGCATGAGGCCACATGGAATCACATGACCAGTAAAAGGTCATGACATTACACTGTCATTATGGCCAGTGGCTGCGCTGAGTGCTTATAATGGCCACCCAATCTCTTTCGGCTGTGAAACAATGGGCCTCCTTGACTGAGCTGTGAACATTACAAATGGCTAGTGAGCTACAATGTGTAAATGTGTGTGATTCATATTCTTGTTTTGCAAAATTCAGCAAATGAGCCAAAGCTTCTCTGGGCATCATCATCATCATCATCATCATCATCATCATCATCATCATTGCTATTATTAGAGTGGATCACTGATGATGTCATTTCCATGTCCAGTATGACCAGTAAATGTATTTAATGGTCTTTATTTTTAACAGTGTTTGTGTTTGTATGATTGCATCCCACTTGTTTTGTCACCCCATAGACCCTTGATTAGCTTCTTTTATTGGTAGATTTATGTCAGTAGGACACAATCTGCAGCAGGGGATTGTGGGAATGCTGATCTAGTGAGTTGTGGAGGATTAGGGTCAGCAGGAGTAAGGAGCTCAGACCGCTGTTCTTTCCACAACCTCTGGACCTCATTCTAATGTTCATTGTGCAAAAATGTATTTCACATTTAATATATATCTTCATTGCCACATTAATGGAAATATCATTATGTCATTTCACTATTTTATACCTGTATCTTCGTGTGGCAGTACTTTTTTTTATAACTCACCATAGGGTGTACTTTTTTGGTCACAGCACAGTGGCCTGTTCAGCGCACATGATGCCTTTCACCCAACTGAAGGATTCAAATCCCATGTCATCCATAACCACTGAACCGACACTTTTCTCCCAGCAGCACGCACAGTAGGAGTCTCAAGGTTAGTTGGTTCAGACTCAGCAGGTCTTGCACCCGTTGCCCTGCTCTCTACTCACTGGCTTTGTCATTCCAGCTGCGATAATTTCTGGGAACAGAGAGCATTATTCATGTCCTCAAAAGGGGGCAAGTTCTAATTGAAATTCCGGTCTTTTCCACTGGAATGAAGTGGGGCTGCTGACACCCACTGTATTATGCCGGCCCTGTCACCTTGAAAGGCCCATCTGGAGACTGTTCACATGCCAGGGAAGCAGAAAAGACCCATTAAGGGGAAAAAAGTAATGTAGTGTAGGCCTGTAACAAAAGAAGGTAAATGAAGCAGGATCAAAGATTTTGGCGATACGGCAATAGCAGCATTACAGCAGTGTTCACTTCCTATGTAAAGCCATCTTTTACATTGTGTTAACTAAAGGGCTGGACTGACTGTGGTTGCTGGCTGCCAATGTGGTGTGCATGCTAATGTCTGGGTGAATGAATCAGTGCCATTCTGATAGAGGAGAAATGAGTACAAGGAACCTCTTTCTAGTTAGTTCACTCTCATAGCAGCCTACTGTCTTGGGAAGTCGACTGTCTTCCAACAACAACAACTGTACATGGTGATTTGGTGCCTTTATTTTAATGTCTTTACATGCACTATAGCTCTAAAGCAACTTATTTGGCTTTTACACTGTGTATCAGTTCTTTTTTTTTTAATTAATCAGTAATCATTTACGCTAGTCTACAAAATGTCTAATAAAATCTGTAAAAATCACAATATCCTTAGGCCTAATATGATATTATGTCTAATAAAATCTGTAAAAATCACAGTATCCTTAAAATTGCTACCTTTGTGAAATTAACAACCCAAAACCTAAAAAGATTCAATTTATTGTTGATAACAAAAAGAGAAAAGCATAAAATCCTCCCATTTGACAAGCTGAAACCAGCACCTTTGACATCATTTCTACACCTATACAAATTTTGATTTAGATCAGTTTGTTCTGGATTAACTTGAAGGTTTCAGGACATTTTTTCTCTTACTGGCTCCAATTCTGGTTTAGTTAACCAAGCACAAACTCATTTAGGGTTTTTCTCTGTGTTAAAAGTCACAGTATTATCACAGTGATACTCATAATGTACAATGGCCTGGGAATTACCTTGGGCTGTGTTGTATCAGAGCAGTGTGAACTTCTCTTCATGAGGGTAAACATCACATTCAGGGCCCATGTTCTGGCCTGTCTGCCTCAACTAGCCAGAGGTGGTGTTGTAATTTTGATGGTTGATTCATCACCTCTGCCCTGCTTTTTGTCAGCAGAAGAACAAATCAGAGTGTAGTTCAGAGCCAGTGTTAAGATTATTTACATCCATAATCAATGTCATACTAATACAAAACCTTTAAAATGTCTGTCTCTCTTTCTCTGCCTCTCCTTGTTGTTCTCTCTGCCAGGGATTGAGCTGTGCCTGCCAGCTTGGCGTTTTTCAATGACCATGGTGGCCAGTTTTGTGGTATTGGGTGGTCAGCTGCTGATGCCTGGGGTGGCTTACCTCTGTCGTGACTGGCAGGTACTCCAGGCTGTTATCATCTGCCCCCTGCTGCTGATGCTGTCCTACATCTGGTATGAGACAAGACTCAAGCTTTTGCTGCACTTTGACACAGACCAAGTTCTTAAAGTCTTTTACTGCTGACAAAATTGGTGCCACTGTACATGATGAACAACTACATCAGCAGTCTCTGTCAGCCTTCACGAGAGGGTTTTGGGAAAAGTATGAACCCATGTTGCCTTTCTTGACTAAGCCAGACAACATTTATGGACACAAATTACTAATAAAGTGGCTGACTCTGTAGAAATGCAGCTGATTGGGCTGATCTTAGTTTGCTGATTTGTGGAAACAACTTCAAACCACACCAGTGGAATCCTGCACATTTACTCATGTAGACATTTGTTCCAGAGGAGTTCAACCTGCTAAGGAATGTCATTTCTTTTTAACTGCTCAAAGGAATGTGTGCAACATAATGTAATACAGCCACGAGAGTGTAGCAAATGAAAGCAGAGACAGAGTTAACAATGGCCGGTAGTCGTGTGTTTATTTGTTGTTTCCACTCTAGGTTTAAGCTAGTCTGAGATAGTGTTACCTGTAAATGGTGTGTGACACTGCAGGGGACTGATTTCCTATTTAACATCCTATATATATTGTTAGCTCTTATCTGCAAATAATTCAAAATGTGTTAAAAAGGCACACTGGTTAAGAAAGGGATTGATGCAGAGATAAATCTGCTACCCCCTAGATTTGAGTCAGCCTTTAAAAAGTGGGGACGTATTTCATTCAGTTATTTTTCATCTTATTAACGAGGACATCCCCCGTCTTTTTGACAGGATCTTCCCTGAGTCACTGCGTTGGCTGCTGGCCACTCAGCAATACTGCCGCTCCAAGTGGATCATGGGACAAATAGCAAAGATAAACGGAGTGAATATGGAGCTTGACCCAGATAACATCCTTCCAGGTAGTGAATGCACTGACATTAATTTTAAGGACATCTGTATTAAAAGGCTGCTTCTTATAAATTGTTATTTTGATTGCTATGTCTGTTTGTTGATACATTTTTATGTTATTGTGTCTTCATATGTTTGCTGCAGTGCTATATTGTTGTTTTTTCCTTTTTTGAAGGGTAGGGTGTGTAGTACTATCCCCAGCTGGGCTTTCCTAAATAAACCAGATTGACAAGGTTATTTCTGTTTCCTGTCTTGTTGCTATAGTAACAGGCCACTCCAGAAGTAGCAGTGGGTGTTGTACTTGGTGCTCAAGAACATTCATTAATTTCATTATAGCCTGGGTGGGTGGATGTAAGCTGACGCGATGGTGTACAGATGGCAGATTGACACAGGTCAGGCGCTTTGACCCTGGGTTAGCTGTTAGTGTCTGTGTCCTGACGATCTGCCAGAGGCAGTCAGCTCTGTTACTGTCAAAGACTGGAGCCGATTGCATTTGCATTACAGTGCTGTTAACTGTGGTATACCTTTTCTGTTTTTGGACTGCCATCGCTTGTGGTAGTTACCCATGCATTTTGACAAAACAAGTGCGACTGCTGCTCAAAGAGGAGCCACTTAGTGTGAAACTGCCCGCACTGCTTTAGAACTGGTATGCTGACGCAGCATTTAGAAAAGTTCATAGCCACGGACATTAATTCATCCTCTCTTGTTTTTATGGCAAGTGGCAGTCCCCAGCATTTCCAGTAATATTTCCTACTTTCAAATGTCCATCACTGGAGTGTTGAGCACTGAATGTACTTAGCTGCTACACTAAGAGGAGCTGAGGAATGTTTTCAAACACCGAGACATGACAAATGCATGTGTGACTAATGGTTAGGTCACCTCTGGAAAGTGAGTTGATTGATATGCACTAATCTCAGCAGTATTACTCAGAGCTTTGTTCAGCCAGGGAATCACGGGAAAGGCAGAGCGATACAGCCGGAGATAACCTTGAGCCACTGGTGTGCAATGCTGTCACATGCATGAGAAAACATGAACGTACCATACAGTACCACAAAGCAGAAGTATGTTTCTGTGGCAACCTGTAGTGTGATGCCAAAACATCCACAGCATGCTGTCACATAAGACCAGCAGCCTGCTAGGTTTCTGTTCTTCTCTGACTAGTCACGAGGAATGAAGCATGCTCATTAAAAATACATGTGGAAACTTCTGTGGTTGCAATAAATCAGGGGCATCCTTGTTTGATGCTTTGAGAACCTGGACTGCAGTTGAACTTTCCTTTGGCCGGAAAAGGTGGTTTCACATGATGATTGCAAATACAGCTTTACCAGTGCTGTGTCAGCATTGGTCAGTTAGCAGTGATCATAAGTCTCCTGTATTGTCCTCTCTTCATTGGCTACCTGTTCATTTTAGGATGCTAACTAAAAAAATTAAAATCTATTGTGGAAAACATATTTTGTGTGTACAGATATGAATATACAGTATGTAGGGATTCTGCAATATAAGCATAATAAAAACCAAAAAAACAATAATAATGCATTTAAGCGGTGACCAGCACAACGCTCCAGATTAGATTATTCAAAATGCATTGCTGGACTCAAAAATTGACCGTTTTGCTATCAAATGCTGATATTGTTATCAGCTTCAAAAGTCACATATGGGTCAGTCTCTAACAAAAATGTGTTTGCATATTTCCAGAACTGCAGAGAGCTCTTCAAAAGAAACCCAAAAAAACATGCATTGTGAAAATGGTTGGGACAAGAAACCTGTGGAAGAATATTGTTGTGCTCTGCGTCAACTCGTAAGTGTTTGTTTATTGTATTAGTACTTAGAAAATGGTTTGGACATATATGTGTCAAGGTGGTGTGTGTTGTTGTGTGGGTGGGGGGGGGTTATTTGAAAGCAGAGAATGGAAAAATGAAATGTGTGTATACAGTACATGCTAATGTGTTTGTGTGGGGCAATGCAATGCCAGCCAGATGCAAAATTTTGTGCAGTGAAGACACCAGTATTAACCTGGGGGCTCTATACAGCGTCGATCAGTGGCCCTCGGTGATTTTGTCTGTCAGTATTTCTGCTGCTCTCCTTTTTCATCTTTAGAGAGATCCTGCCTCTTCTTTGTATCTGATACCTCTCCTATCTAGCTGGGCACACCCAGCTTTAGCTCTGCTTCAACGCACGGTGTCCCTGACTCCCACACTCAGCATCAATTTTACATGAGCTGTGTCCTTATGAAACATTAGACATCCAGGACTGTGTGTTTGCTTGTGTTTTCTGTGCAAGCTTGTGGAGTGTATGCTTTTTGTGTCTGTAAGTTATTGTTTAACGCGTATGTTTTTTTGAGATGAGAGCAAAGATGATAAAATTGAATTGTCTCACTTCACCTGACTTCTTCATCTGCTGGATATGCCTATATCTGCTTTCTTTGTTTATCTTCTCCCTTTGTGTGCTGTATATAATTTTTCTACTATATTTTTTCTGTTAACCCTTCCCTTTTTTCTTTGCTACATACTTTCACTACATTCCCCCAGTGTTTTCTGTGTCTGATATGTCTTTGATTTTTACCTCACTCCTTTTCCCTTTGTATGTGCTTTACTCAGGCTAACAGGCTATGGGATCCACCACTGCTTTGCCCGCAGCATGATGGACCCTGAAGCCCAGGAAATCACCATGTTCCATAACTTCTATGTAGACTATTACACCATGGCAGGCATTGCCGTGGCGTCCTGCATGGCACTGTGCCCAGCAGTGGGTCTGATGGGCCGGCGCGGTGGCCTTCTCATGTTCATGATAATCACTGCCCTAGCATCACTACTACAGCTTGGCTTGCTCAACTGTGAGTACTTTATGAAGAACACAAATCCTACTCATTCTTGAGGCCTGATAACCACTGTGATCCACTATTGCCTTTGAATCTCAGTGGCAGAATTCAATAAGGAATAAACTCTAAATCAGGATTTAAACCATAGTAAAATCAATTTCCCAGTTCTCTACTGGTTAAATGTCACCTGATGGGAACAAACAAATCTGGCATCTGATTTACAGTATGTACTGTGCTCTTAAATGCTGCACCAGCGTTTGTGCCGTTGTAGGGTAATAATGAACACATTCACACTGATGGTTAATAATAGATTAGCAATAAGAATGAGGATATTTTTCAGTCATCAATCATGATAAATACTTTGGGGGAGAAAAATTGTGATGTAAAATTACTAACTTTAATTTTTATCACTGAATGCAAGCTAGCAACTTGCCTTTGAAATGTCCTGTCATGTTAGATTTAGCACTTTGATTAAGACATACCATTGCCATAGCCCCAGTTTGTACCCCTGATGCTTTAGAATACATTCAAATGTATGCTAATAATCCCATTAAGCAGAGTTTGAACTCTATCCCTTATCCATTTGACAAACATTAGCATAAGCTACAGTCTATCTGCTTCAATGTTACTATCTAAACCAGTGTTGTTTATTTTAAATTCTGCTGAGGCAAGGTAAACACGTTTATTTACATAGCACATTTTTATATATAAAGGCAATTCAGTGCACGCACTGTAGAGCCTCACTGTTCTCAATATACTGTACTTTGTACCCCTTTACTTCCGCCTTCCTAAGACTAACCTCTGTGTAGTTTACACCAGATGCAGATATATGTACATTCTTCTGGAAAATTTGAAACATCAGTGTTTGTGAGGCTAAAGTTGTAAAAAAGTTGTACTACAGTGACCATGAAGTGAAATAATTTCCATTGACTTTAGTTGTAATAGATGCATAAGATTACTTGAGCAAGTAATTGCACTTGGGTATCTTGCAGTTACACCATGGATTCTTCTATAGTTTGATATTTTGGGCTTTACATATGTTTCTTTGGCTGAAAGTTCGAGAGGGATCAGTAGAGATCGATGCCACTCATACCACTTGTTTCTACATTTTTGTTTGTGTAAGCATTAAACAAACAAGATAACACGTTAATCAGTAAAAGTTAGTGCAAGCAGGCGGTTTTTAAACTTTGGACAGAGCCTGGCCTTCAGTCTTTATACTGAACTACGTGAATTACCTGCTCACTCTGGCTTCATGTTTAACGTGCAGACATAATTGTATCAGTGTTCTCATATAACTCTCTGCAAGAAAATGAATTAAGTCCCAGTCAGTGTTGAAAGAATAATTGAAAACATTGGCTGGTGAAATATTTAGTCTGGTGAGGTTCTTGTTTTTTTTTTTTTCATGTCAGCAAATCATTAAGTCAAGACACGAGTCAAAGCATGATGAGACCAGACCCAGCAGAGGAACTACAGGGAAGGGAAGGGAAGTACAGGCTTGGGGCTGGACAAAAGATCATCAGTGTTTTTATTGACTTACAGTACAATAATTTCATGATCATAGGACATGTCAATTTTACAAAGGTCTGGCAACATGATTGATTCCAAGCAAATAAAAAAAAAACTAACAGGGGAAGTTATTGTAATTTTGTTGTTGTACATAGGTGAATACTTTAGTCTGAAATGCATGAATGGAACACTGTTGCATTGTTTGAATACATTTTCCACATTATAATGTTAATAATAAGTTCTTAGTATTTCATAATATTGAAATCCTGCTTCTACACACTCTGAAAATGAGGTTATTTCAGAGCTTTGTCACCTTTAGTAGTTTCTAATTGAGTAGTGGAGCATGATTACAAAAAAAAGAGTAAGTAGTCCAGATGATCAAAACAGAAGACAAGTCAGTTTGTTCAGTTACAAATGACTGAGACTTAATGTTTAACCTGAGTCAACACATCAAGGATATGCTCAGGCGTTGTAACACTGTCCTGACAAGCTTTGCTCAATATGATTTATATGCATGTTTTTAATAACTCTAGACTGAATTAATTGTCACATGTTTACCATCTCTTTCATTCTTCTCTAGTGCTTTGGAAGTACAGTGGCCATCTGAATATAGGTAGGATCATCTCTTTATTTATGTGAAGTTTTGCAACTACTGATAATGTTTAAGTTTAGAAGGTAATCTGATAATTAATCAAGTACCACTTCTTAGATGTTTTCTACCACTGTACCTACCAACTTCACGTTCTTTCAAAGTTTGAATTGTCTGACTCATCATGTAACTTAAGTTGCTGCACCGTCCTAATGAGCTTTTAGAAAGTGTGCTGCACACACATATCCTGTAGTGTTTCATTAAACATATACAAGCTTGGCGGAGACGCATAATGAGGTCCTAGATGCAATTAAGTCTAGCTTTTTACTTGTTTATCCCTTTTATGTTGAAGAGGATGAGGACTTCCTTCTGATCTTCTCTATGCCATCTTCAACATGTCTTATTCAAAAAAAAAATGAAGACGGGTTATATTTAAACCTTTGGATTAAAATGGTCTGTTGTACTGTATGTGCAGTAAGCCTATTCGTCTGTAACTCATCAAAATAATGTGGTATTTTATGCAAGCAAAGAAATGCCATAATGGTTCCGTCTTTATTTTAGAAACTGATACCTAATCTTGAAATTTTGCCACTCTTGAGTACTTCATGTTAAAACTGAAATACCACTGAAATATTAGCATAAGCATATTTTACTTTGAAATTTATCTGTGTGACTATTTTCAGGAGTATATCCAAGTTGTACAATTTCAAAAACCTGATTTCCATCTTTTTTTTTAAGTGTGCACACATTCTAACTGAAAATTCATACCTGAAAATTTCAAATAAATATACTCTTTTTTATTTTTTTGAACCACTATTTGAAGATATTGTTTTCTCCCTGTGTTTCTGTCAGCACGGTGTTAAATTGAGTAGAAATTTTACAAGATATATTTAAAAAATATATAATAAAAACATCTTTCATGTTCAGAAACACCATCCCTTTTCTGATTACTGAGGGTACTGAGTGCAAATTGCCGTGCATGTGTCTTTTGCTTTGTCTGCAGATAGCTCAGGTACGCTGAATAAGAACTTCTCCATCGCCTTCTCCATCATTGGCATGTTCTCCTCTCATGCAGTCAGCAACCTGAGCATCTTCTTCTGTGCTGAGATCACACCTACTGTGATCAGGTAAGCCCACTAAAATGCTGCGACTACACAAACAGAGGAAGAGGACAAAATGTGGAAAATGTGCTTACTCGTACCAGACACATGCAATATGCTTTGTCACATAAACGTGTAGGTGATTAGTCCACAGTGTGTTCATGTTTGCTCTGGTTTGTGTAGTGATAATATAAGTGTCATCAATTTACAAACAAAGACAAAAATAGAGGCATAAAAGGTTTTCTTTTTACATTTGATTTCTTGTCCTGACTAGCCTATAAATTAGTTCATCCAGTCACATGGCATGTTCTTGCAGATAGATTAGTTGCTTCACCTTTACTTTCTGAACAAGGGTGTGAAGTCACTGAAGTTCTGCAAACAACAGACTTTAACAGTTCAAAGTCAAATCCACATCATGTACAAATTAGCCATCTCTTCTGAGATTATATGACACAGCACTGCATGAGATAATGCCCCTCTGGTCACAAACATGTTAAAAGGCCCCCAAATACCCACAGACAACACAGAAGCAGCCTTCTTTCTCTCTAGTTGCAGTCATTTATCAATCTCTTTGTAACTGTTTTATTGTCTTTGTAGTATTTTTGACTCTTGGTGGTTGTTTTGCATTAATTTGTAGATTTGAGCCTATGGCCATTCTATGTCTCTCTTTGCACCTTTTGTAGTCATTTTATGTGTCTTTGTGGTGGTTATGCATCTCTTGTAGACATTCTGCATTAATTTCTATACATTTTGCGTGTCCTTTTAGTAATTCTGAGTGTCTTTGTGGTTGTTTTTGTCTTTTTTTTCAAGTCATTTGGCTGACTTTCCAACATGAACAGTCACATCAAACAGAGGCTCTGGCCCATGCGCCCCCTAAACACTACTGTTCCTATGCCCAACAGGCCCATTCAATAATCCATCCATGCAGCACTTGGATATTCATTGTCTGGTGTTGCATAAAGGGTGGTATTCTGCTGACAGTACATGAGGGGTTGCCAGCTGGTGGTGAATTTAGGCAGTGGCAGAAAAGAAATGAAATTGCATGTACAGGAGAGTGTTTAGTGGTACTGCAGCACTCCCTGCTGCTGTTTGATAAAATGGCAGTGATACATCAACAAAGCCATACAGCAAAAATAAGAGCTACCTGTGCAATTAATGAATGTAAAGTCATTGACAGTTCTTCAGTACAACATATAGCTCATGATTCACTGCAGTTCTATTGAACTTAGTCATCTCTTTTGAGTGATTTATAGGCAATTTATAAGGTTTTGTGGTATTTGTGATTATAAATTCTACATCCTACCCAGTTATAGTCAGTGATGGAAGAAATACTCGCATCCCTTACTTAAGTAAATGTAACAATACAACAGTGTAAAAATACTCTGTTACAAATAAAAGTCCTGCATTCAAACTGTTACTTAAGTAAAAGTACAAAATATTAGTATCAAAACATGCTTAAAGTACTAAAAGTAAAAGTATTCATTATGCAGAATGGCACATTTAACATTAATGTATATCATATTATTAGATTATAACTACTGATGCATTAGTGTGTGCATCACATTTAATGTTGCAGCTGGTAAAGGAGGAGCTAGTTTTAATGAGCTTACACTATATGCTTATAATTTGAATAACTTTACAATACTGCAGAGTAGCTTATGAATTTCCACGGTAGACCATAAAATCTTATGATTATATTGTAATTTTTGTATTAATCTGGTTTTGAAAAGTAACTAGTAACTAGAGTTATAAAATAAATGTAGTGGAGTAAAAAGTGCAATATTTGCCTATAAAATATAGTTAAGTCGAAGTATAGAGTAGCACAAAATGAAAATACTCAAGTACAATACTTTCCACCATTGGTTATAATGTTTTCTGTTTCCCCACAGGGGTGGTGGTGTGGGCCTGGTCCTGGCCAGCGCTGGTTTCGGCATGCTGACTGCACCCATCATGGAGCTCCACAATCAGAAGGGCTATTTCCTTCACCACATTATCTTTGCCTGCTGCACTCTCATCTGCATCATCTGCATTCTCCTGCTGCCTGAGACACGCTACCAGCCCCTCCCTGAGACCCTGGCTGATGGCGAGAGCTACACTCGTCAACCTCTCCTTCCTCCGAGAAAACCTGGGGAACAGCACCTCTTGCTGGCCCGGTCTGAGAACAGCAGGGACTACACCAGGGTGCATGACACGGCAGCTGCCACTGCAGTGTCCACCATGGGCTCCACCGCCTCTTCGGCTGTTGATCTGACTGCCCCGTCAGTTGGAGATATGCCCCCCATGTTCATGAAGATGCACCCTGGCAAGCCTGAGCCTAAAGACCCCAATGGTCATTCAGTGTCATCTTTATCCACAATCCCCATCACAGCCTTGGGTAAAGATGGCATCATACATGCCAGTAAAGAGCACCTGCTGTCTTCCACTCCTTTACACAAAGTCCCGTGCATCACAGACCCACTTTTAGCCAATACCGAAGTATCTCCAGCAATACTCCCAAATTCTGTTAAGCCCTTGTCAAATTCTGCCCCTCCTAATATAAGCAACAGTAGTCCTTCTCCCACAAAAGCTGCCAACCTGGACCCTTCACTTGACACTTCCACTCCCCCTGACCCTCAGAGTGGGCCTGCACCTTTATTGATCAGCACCACACCTACCATTGAACCCCCACCTACCATTATGTTAGAATCCCCAAACCCCCAAAGTAATGATATTGACAATATCACCCTGAAATTTGACCCAGAGGACACTCATGTTGCTTCAGCAGACTCCCCTACTCCTTCTACACATGATAGTCTTGCTTCATCCCCCACTGCCTCTCAAGTTCCTCTGACAGACTACAATGTTTCCACTGACCTTCCACCCTCCATTAGCACCGACACTGACATTCCCATCCAGTTAGAAACACTAGATGAATCTTCAGCTCTCCCTTCAACTAGTGACGCCCCCACACCTCCTGTCATAGACTCCCAACCACCACAGTTAGACTCTACCTCTACTTGTGCTGATGATATATTTCCTCATTCCACTACTCCCAGTAGACCAGTCACTGCTTCCTCGTCACCTGTTCCTCCCCCACCCACTGACTCAGGCCAGATGGCCTCAGAGGACTCCTCTACACCCCCTGTCATAGATGAAGCCAGTGCCATTCTCCCTGTCAAAGACAGTGTGCACTCCTCCACTCCAGATTCAACTGCTCTGACTGTCACAGACATTTTACCAGATTCATCTGCTTCCCTCATCACAGATTCAGAACCAACTTTAATCACAGATTCAGGCTCTGCAGAAGAAACACCCCGCTCTATAATGGAATGCACAGTCTCCTCGCCAATAGACTCTGGTGTTCTCTATAGCAGGGACAGTTCCAGCACAGAAAACAACGCTGTCAAGGATGTGGCGACATCATGACTCAGTGTTGCAGACAGGAAAAAAGCTTTATTGTTGCACCGGAAGGCAACCCATGCCACACAAATACCTGGGAAGTTGGGAAGGCAAGAACTCTCCTACTCAGACTTCAGGTACTTGATGAAGACTGTCCCCACCTGAAGCTGATTAGACATGTCTTACAGAGTTGCTGTATGCTTCTCAATGCCACCCCCACCCTCCCCTTCCATTTAGCTAGACCATTCAAGTGAGAGAGAGCGAAAGGCTGGTATGTGACAGTGTGACAGTATCGTCTGTGTGTGTTTTTTCTTTTTTGAATGTCACTGGAAATCACCAGCCTCTAAACTACTTTGATGTAAATGAATGGGAAAATCACTGTCTGTCCTTTTAAAGAGACTTCAAACTTAAAACCCACAATCACTGAGATGTGTCATCGGGACTTTTGAGAAATGCAAAAAAAAAAGTTTAACATTTGTATAAAAATATTACCGTACCTGTGGAGACAAGAAGATCTGAATGTTACAAAGAACTTTTTGACATTATAGAGGTAAACAATTCAAAATGGAGTGACCCCCTCCACCCTTTAAATACAATGCCAAAAGCTACTGTACTCTGACCAAAATCAAATGTAGACATAGTGCCAAAACATTTGTATTAAAACAGTATTTGCCTGTTAAAGGAAAAACCATTTTGTGTAGTCCCCTCCCGTAGAGCATAAGTGAATTAAAATGAATCCTATTTCAAAATTCAGACATACAAAAAACCTTTAGTTTCTCAGTAAGACTGAAAACTGTATTACCATTTGAATTAGAGTTGAGAGGTGAGCTTGACCTAAAGTGCTTTCATCAACACATGGTTCATTGTATAAACAGTGATATTAGTGGAACAAATGACATATTTTGTCAGTCTGGGGAAAAAAAAACAACTTATCTTTCCAGTTGTTTCACTCAATGAAATCTATGGTATGCAAATGATTTTATTTGTAAATGCGATATTGTAAGTAAATGCTTAATTAGTTGTTAAGCTTGATTCAGTTTTTTAAAATCCAAAGTGTTAATTTGAATACTGCCCTTAGTGTACAGTCTTGCAATGTTTGTGGCACCCCACCCTTTTTTTTTTTTTTCTTTTTACAGTGGCGTCAAAGCATAAAAATTATTGGGACGTGTCAGCAAAACAAACTAGCAAACCTTAAAAAAGACACAAACTACTTTTGAAATGAAACCAATGGATGGATTGCCAACTGTCACAACATAACTAAACTTCAGTGTGGTTTTCCAAATCTTCTTCAGACATTAACATAGTTTTGTGTTTTATACATTCACATGCACAACTTTAAGAATGCAATATGTCATATGTTTGCCACAATGGCATTTTAAAATACAGGTCAAATCCTTATTTATAGATTAATGAATGGATTAATCAATGCATATTCTTAAATTGACAGGCTCCATCTTAAAGAGGCATTTTTTCCCAAAGCCAATGTCCCTTTGTGGACAGTATTATACTTGACTACTTGACTGTGTGTAACCTAACAGTTGTAGTTACAAATGTCTTGCAGTCGGGGGTTGAGACATTTGTCTAAGAAAGCTGCGTGATAACTGACAACTGTTTACAACAATCATCATAATAATAATAATAACAATGAATAATAATCACACTGTACTGTAAAACCTCAGAGCCAACTGAATGATGTCTCATTATTTCAAATGTGATACAACTCTCTCATAATATATAATATAACAAGTAATTTATCAAGGGAGTATTGGTGGTCTATTAAGGTGTCAGTCAGCAGTCAAACACAACACCAGACCCGACTTTCTTGTGGTAGACTTATAAATAACTTTACTGATACTTGACTCATCAAAATTTTCTCCTCTGATTTTATCCGAGTCAAATTGTGCATTGACAGAAGTTACATATCTTTTGGTGTCTGGATTGTTGCCTGTGGGAGTTTTTTCTCAAATGCAGCTTGAATCGAAGTATGAAAGCTTTGTTTTTGATTGATTCAGGATAACCCTAAAGTCAACAAACTTCAGTTTACTGAAAGATTCATATGACTGTTTGATGTCGAACATATGTATGCCATGCTGCTAAGCCACAAAGCACAATGCCCTGAAATCATGTGATTCAGATTTGGTGGAGCTTGGCGTATTGAAAAAAAAATAAAAAAATAAAAAAAGGGAAATCGGAGTGATATTTTGAATACAGTACAAAAATGAGTAATTACATATTGACTTTTGCTATTTAATCTACTTTCTGGAACATGGTATTGACACTGGATTTCTTGGTATCTACAGTTAAAAGTGGGTTCACTGCAGTGGTCAGTTAGGGCTACTTCACAGTACTTAGTCCTCGTTGTCTATGCGTGCTGTCTTTCTGTCTCAGTGTTCCATAAACTGAACTGTATGTTGCCAAAACCCTATGAAACAACGCCAGTGTAAAGACAATGACACAGCACAATACAACTAGTCTTCTCTGAGATCTGTTGCTTCCACTTTCACCTTTCCCATGCAGCTATTTCACCATGCTGATGGAAGTTGTTACATTGTTGTTACTTAATAAACATTTTTTAAACTTTATTTGGACTAAAATTAAAGTAAAAATAAGTGAAAGTAGTCCAAAGCAATGTTAGCACCAGCGACAGGGTAGACTGGCAGATGTGCACTGGTGGAAAAGCAAACGGGGAAAATAAAGAATGGCTTGCTGTGTTATGACTTTGTGCTTTGACAACATGAAGGATCATGGATAATAATATGAAGTGGTGAATAGATTTGAACTTGGTAAATAAAAGTCTCACAGACATGAAATCCCCAGTGTACACAGTTCAGGTTTTGCTTCTTTCGAACATAAAGCACGGTATCTCATGACAGGAGACTTGAATGAATGTAAAAACTATGGATTGTATAATTTAGAATTTCCAATTGTTTGGTTTCATTTTGTGTTTGTTTTAACAGACATAATGCAGTTGTATATAAGCCATACTTGTTGTTAAAATAAACCACTATTTATTGATCAGATGTGGATATCATGACTCATTAATTTTAAAAACAACATTTTATGGATTTTGTTATAAGCTGATTCCAAGGAATGAAACATTCAGATATTTTTTACTGTTGGTTAGAGGTATTGCAACTAAGAAAATGTTCTTATACTCCCTCTCACAAGAGTTTCGAAATCAAATGGGTTGTCAACCAGGCAGAGCAGGCCCATAAAGTCAGGGGCCCTGAAAGTTGTCTGTATTGTAATTCAAGAACAAATGTGTTTGGTGACTTGCACCGCTGAAGTGCAATTAACAGTGCAAAGTGCCTACAATCATGCTAATGATTCTGTACTTGGGCCCAGATTTTAATGTATAATGTTAGCATGCTTACTGCTAAAGTAACTCAAAACACATGAGGAATGTTGGTACCACACTTCAGTTAAACTTCACAAATGTAAACCTCAGGGTGATAGTGCACGTGTGTTAACACATTAAATATTCACAAATAAACATATTACAAACCTGGAGAAAGGCCATGTTCCAACAAAGACATACTGGTTCGTTACTGGGGCAAT